CTGGTGCAGATCAGGCAGGGACTCAAATCAGAGATTTTTTAATGGAATTGTAACCCTTTTAAAATGAATCATCCTCATTTTATTCACTGCAACTAAAATATGTTTTTACCATTTTGTTCTTTTGTATTTCAACATTTCTATATGTTCATATCTTTTTTAGAACAGGATTTGTAAAAAGAAAAGGTGAATACCGTTGTCCTTGGTGCCACCATCTTCAATGGTCATTTGCTCAGCCAGTTCTGACAGAGACTCGTCGATGGTCTGACTGGGGCGGAGTGTTAATGACAGACGCTTCTTGATCCTCTTCATCTTCTCCATAACAGGGCAATGCGCGGCCTGCAGGACACACAAAAACACAGAGTCGGCTACAAAAGAATGCAACATTTAGAAGACTGCTTTCATCTGTGCTGTTATTTTGTGCATTCTTGTGCGATGTTGAAGATTTTGTGAGCACCCGTACGGTCCAAAATATCTCCGCTCATGAATAACTCAAAGCTCCTTTTAATCCAATATTCATTCACTCTGCAAATGCTTCAACAGTACATGAATAAACCATGAACGAAGCATGAATAAAGGATGACCATCACGCACTTGAACACAGCTGTTTTCACTTACACACACGCTCACGCATTCAAACGAGGAGAAATTAATGAGCGCTAATTGACAGAGTCAAATCAGTTTGCCGAGACACACGTACACGCTGTGCACGGCTGCGAGCGCCTGCCAGTGTTGTTCCAGACGAATGTATTTGTGTTGACGCAGCAGTTGTTCAGGTCACAGGAAACACCTTGCTCAATCTGCCTGAAGCCAGACCGTGTTCATTGTGTTGCTGCGGTATCGCCTCGTCAATGTGTGCGTGTGCATGAGTGTGAGTATGTGTGCGTGCACTTATGAGGCAGGCTGAGTGGAGGAAATGCAGTGAGGAAGCAGCGGCAGCAGAAATGCCCCGCCCATGCTGCCTGACCCTCGGCACAAAACACGCTAACCCCTGCCGTCACCATGCCTCTCTTTTCATTTCTCTCTCAAGGTCGTTAGCTCCCTTCATACTCAGGAGACCCCATCTGCCTGTACACACACACACACACACACACACCTTCACCAATACATCATCCATGACACCGCACAGCGAAAATGGCTTCAGCCAATATCAGCACATGTGACTGTAACCTCACGCCAACACAAAACCATAATATGTTTGTTTTGTGTGTTAACTAGGCCTGAGAAAAATATATATTGCAGCATCATCCCAGACTGCAGTGATGTGTGATCAATAAATGCTGAAGATTAAAAACTATTTAATCTTGGCTATAACACCGATCTCGTCCCCTTTGCTATCAGTAAACGCTAACCAACATTTAGTGATGCCGTTCGCACATCAACATCACACAGACGTTTTGCTACAAAACAGAACAGGTTAAAGGCTGAAGGTCTGACTGGAGTACCACTGTGTCAAATTACAATATTACTGACAATATAATTATGCAAAATAATACAAAAATAAAATAATTGTTAAAATAATTTATGCAAAATAATTTTAGGAACACTTAGTTCACTGTGGGTCTACCAGGTAAGCAGCAGGTAAAAACGTTACACCTACCAAGCTCTCAAGTGTTCTCAGTTACAATACATGCTTTCCTCCAACAAAAATGTTTTTGTTTACTCCATACAGTTTGGCTAACAAGATGCAAAGACTAAAAATGAAAAGGCAGAAAGCAGAAACTATCACAACCATGAATGTCAGTAAAAAACACTGAAGTGAAACTAAATAAGCGCCAAAATTTTGCATAACTTTTCTTTTGTTCACTCGTTGTGTTATGTGTTATTTTTAGTGCTGTCAGCGTTAATCTTGTTAAAATGACGTTACCACCATAACCGCATTAACACGACAAATCTCTGTTAGCAAGTTACTGCAGATCGCCCGTGCTTTGGGCCGCACAGCATCAACGCGTTAGCGCGGTTTCCTCGGATTGGGCCATCAGCTGCAGTGATGAAGACGCTCCACCGGCCCCTCGTGTTGGAAAGAGAGCTGAGTACAAAAGCAAAGCCGTCAATCTACCAGTCGAGCTACAACCGTAACCTATGGCCGCAAGCTTTAGGTAGTCGCCAAAAGAACGAGATTGTAGATACAAACAGTGAAAATGAGCTTTATCTGAAAGGCGGCCGGCCTCTTACTCAGAGACAGTAAAGAGTGCAGTCATTGAGAGTAGAGCTGGGCTATATCATACTCTTCACG